GCAGGAAGAACTATACTAGATTTGGAGTCAGGAAGAAATGGGTTCAAGTTTCTCCCCAATCTCCCTCCCCAGACATTTACCAGTTTTGTGACCTTAGGTAAGTCACTTTTAAACTGCTTGACTTTTAGGTTCCTCATTGTAAATGGGACAGATACCCTATAGTACTTACATCCCAGGGTTTTTGTGTAGCTTTTATGAGAAAATAGAGGATCATAGATAAAAAATTGAAATAGAATCAGAGCCCTCTAGTACAACGCTTTCATTTTATAAATGAGGAAACAGGCCCAGGTGACTTGCCTAACATCATACATATTTGTAGCAGACTTAAGACTTGAATTTAGGTCCCCTGACTCTATCTAGCACTGAAAATCCTTCAGTCTGGCTACAACCACCCTTTCTAATCTTATCTATCATTTTTTATACATTCCTTCTGTATTCCATGGCAGCATCTCCAGAACTTATCCTACACATTCCTATCTCTACGCATGTCCTTCATTCCTAGAAAGTACTGCCCCCACACTCCTTCACTTTCCATCTTGCCTACTGAAATTCTATCTATTCTTTTGAGGTCCATCTCCAATGTCTTCCTCCATGAAGCTTCATCTGATCCCCTCAACTAAAAGAAACTTCTTCCTCAGATACATTTTTCACCTCAACTATGTTCCTATTCTATTTATGTCAATATTTGTGTATATTTATGATCCCTAGGAGGCCATAAATTGTTTGAACACGAATACTGGCATTTGCATTCCTGTGGCCAATATGGTGCTTTGAAAGCATGGGCTTAGTGTGTTTCATTTTAACTGCATCCAACTTAGTTGACTGCAAGGTCTTTAAGTCCAGGGTCCAAGTTTCATTCAATCAATCAACAAGCATTTATTAAGGCCTTACCATGTAACATACACTATTCTATACCTCATAGCATCTAGCACAGTGCATTGTATAGTGTATGGACTATAAAAATATCTGTTGATTCTTGAACCAAAGTAGGATTAAGAATTTTTTGCTTCTTACTTCAATACTTCAAAAGATGTGTCGATTTCATTAGTACCAGTACTCCTTTTGCTAGCATAGATAGCAAGGAAATATACAACCTTCTGGATTGCTGTGGCCAAAAAATTCAATACTTAATGGTCAATTTTATGATGTACCTCTCAGAATTTTACCAAGCTGATCTTTGAATGACAAGACATATCCTGTTGTCTCACAAGTCCTTCTGGCCTGCCAAGATCTGCCACAGATTGTTCTCCACTGAGATAGCCTCTGAGATTCCAGCCTCACCCCCACCAAATGATTAACTGGATTTGAGAAACTGGGTGGAGATTGAGTGTGTGAGTCCAATTTAGAGTAAGGTCAGGGCTCATTTAATGAAGTGGAATGTCACAAGTTTACAAACGTGTCCACAAAGCACATTAATATGCAACAAATAATTATAATTTGTCATAAAAGAAACTGAGATAGTTGAAAAATATATTCAATTATAAAATTCAAATTGAACAAGCCTTATGTAATTTAAGGATCAACCTCACTTTAGCCAAAAAAGATAAATGACTTCTGCTTAATAAAATAATTTTTATGTCTGGTTTAGAGCAAATAAAGGAAAATTCATAGACATTTATACAAGTTTTTTAATATGTCACTTTTCTTGGTATCCATTAAAGTAACTTAAAAAGCTACAGAGTGGTAAATTGCATTCAAATTTCTATCAGTAGGACCTCAGGATGATATTTTTATATCCCTCCTGGCTAAATCCTTATTGTCTTTCTACTTATATTCACAGATAAAGCTTCAGTGTTGGTGCTTGCAAAATAAAATTATTTTTTAATCGAATTAGTTTTCTTCCATGAATCTCCTTTTTTTTTTTTTTACCCATTATACTATTAGTCTCTTCATTAAATCACAAATTTCTTAATCCAAAGGGATAGATAAACCTAAACCATGTGCAGTCTTTAGTGCAGCAGATATAATACAAAGACTGTAACAGTGTTTCTATCATACTTTGGTTTCCATAGAGCAGCAATTTCTCTCTTCAGAATTGGGACATCGTATTATTACTTGTGATGGAGAATTATTTTCTCTTCCTCTACTTCCAACCCTCAACCACAGAACATTTTGAAAGTTTTTCAAGTTCATTTAGAGTTCAATGAAGAAACACAAGCTGGAGCATTGCCAACCAGGAATGGAAAATGCTGGCCTGTTTGCATACACATGAAAGGCCAGGACATAAAAAGTGTGCCAAGTGTCTAGTGTGGCTGCCTTTATTTCTGGCTTATCCATCAAAGGTGAAACATAATGAAACAGGGGTATGAGGAAAGCATGACAAGTATGGTCTTTGACACTGACACCCTTGAGTTGGAGTGTTAACTGATAAAGTAGTAGAGGTTTGTAGCTGGGTGAGCAGACAGTAATATATTTCATTCACAGATACCTCAGGTAGTATCTTTAATCCCATCTTTCCCAACCAACCAAAAACTCCCATTGAAACAAAATAATATGAGAAAGAGTAAAGTAATTTATTCATTTGAGAAGGAAAACAAACCACAAAGACATTCATGAACCAGCTACATAAAGCAACGGTTTAAGGCTAATAGCACATACATAAATAGGATGAAGATTGCTTTTTTTTTTTTTCCAATTCAAAATCTTGTTATATGCACCAAATCAAGAACTGGGGGGGGGTGGGGGTATTCATGTTCAGTCATGTCAGGCTGACACAGTAGAACCACTAAGTAGGATGTCATAATTTTATAAGCATGTATATAGGGCACATATTATAAAGTATTGACACTGATTTTGTATGCAATTTATAGAATTAAGCTCACTACTTTAGCAGTACTTGTACAGCCATTTTAGTTGCCCCTCAAAGCAGACACTTGATAAACTTACATTATCTAAACAGATAAAGGAAGTCTAAAGAGAACATCAAATAGAATAATCTCATTATATTCACATTTTTATTCACTAGTTAGGCAAAGCTTTTCTGGGAATGTAGGAGTTAATAAGTTATGTAAATGACAGTACTTTTCCTTAGGCTAATATTAAAATAAGTCGACATTCCCAGAACACATGAGGTGCTAGAAGGCAGCTACCGGTGCTGGATTATGTGGGGAGGCATGTGGGATAGGGGGAGATGAGTAGGAGAAAAAAGCTAATGAAGAAAAAAAGACGGTTCAAGATTTAAACATGCCACACCATATACAGGAATACAGTTTAATGCACATTGAATATACAAAAATTAGGATTTATATTAATTGAAAAAACTAAAGCAGGGGTGGGGAACCTTCCCCTTGAAGCCAGGCCACAGGCTCCCTACCCCAGACCTAAAGTGTTGCCTGAAAAACAAATCTGAGGAGTGGTATGGCAGGTCAATTTTCCTTTTGTTAAGCAAGGTTTCTCAGAAGAAATGAGATCAATTGTATGAATGGCAGAGTAATAGGGGACATCAGACCAAAGAAGTAATTCTAGGGAAGGGGTAACCTTGGAAAAACGCTCAGGTGAAGATGGAAAGATGCTGAATAAATATTCCTGGGGATAGAAGGGATTTTTAAAAAATTAAGAAGATAATATGCACAGTGATATAAGAACTGGGATATTCTAATTTTTTTTTAAGTTAAAGCCATTAGAAATCTGCTCGAAGAAGTGACCCTTTTGATAATTCATTGGGGGGGGGGCAAGCTGTCTTCAAGAATATGCAAGAATGCAGTACATACCATGGGAGCACAGATTTAGAACTGAAAAGACCCTAAGGAAGTCACCTAATCCAACGCCTTCATTTGACAAATGAGGAAACTGAGGCCCAGAAGGGTTAAGGTCATACAAATAAGTGGCTTTGCCAGGATCTGAATCCAAGTCCGGTGACCCCAAAGCCCGTGCTTTTGCCTCTCTATCCCACAATTAACAGGTATTCTCCATCATTCCGGACCCCAGGCAGTGCCTGTATACGCAGACTACAGTAAAAGGGATCTCGTTTAGACACCTGTAAGACCATCCTCTTCACTCTTAAGAGCTGTGATACAACAATATCACAAAGGAATGGAGAATCCCATTCTGGACATTACGAAAAGGGTTTCAAGTTCAGAAAAAAATGATAACAGTATTAGATGAAGTAACAGTATTAAAACAAAACCTTCTAATACTTACGGGGCACACTTCATGGGTATGTCTCTCTCCCTCCCCCAATAAATCTAGATTTTTCTGCTCGTTTCACTACCTAACTTGGCACGAAACTTTCTGGTTCCTATCAGTTAGAAACACACGGAAAGACGTTACCCCAAGTCAATACCCGAAAAGGGGGTCGGGGGTGATCGGGGGCCTGTTCTGGGCCGCCAGTCCGGCGGGGGGCATTAACAGATGCTGGGACCCTGAGGGGTCCCAGCCCCCTACCAACTAACTTCATCGCGCCTGCTCCTACGTTTACAACTAACAGCAGCTGTCCGGGGGCCAAAGGCTAATCCCCACGGAACCGCTACCCCGGGGGGAATGGTGGAAGAAGGGAGACCCCAGGAGCAGCACAAATAGCAGCCACCTTTTCACGTCTCTTCTCCCAACTTTTCCCCCCCTCTCTTTTCTTGCCCAAGAGTTCCAACCAACCACCAGCCGCTCGACACACGTCAAGCTGCCTCTGTTCGCGCTCTTTATTGACGCCAACACCCAGATCTCGCGAGAATCAGTCCTCTCGCCGTGGGGGCTGTCCCGGGCAAAATCTCACGCAATCTCAGCTGAAGCAAGAGGCTGAGGAAGGGGGCGGGGCGCTGGGCCGGAGCGGGGTGGGGCCGAGGCTCTGTGTAGGGAGGGGGGATACGGTGGCGGCGGGACCTGTTGATCGCAGGTAGCGCCAGGCTGGCCCGGGGGCTCCCTAGGGCGCTGCGGTAGCTGCGCATGCTCGCTGGCTGTACTACAGGGCTAGTCGCGGGGCGGCGGTAACCCACGGGCTCCTCCTCGGGATCCGCAGCGGCAGGGCGAGCGGCGGCGGCAGCGGAGATGTGAGGGACCCCGGGGGCGGGATGGTGCTGACCCGGGGGAGGGCCGTATTCTTCGACTGGGACGACGAGCTCCTCCACACGACTGGGGGTGGGAACCGCCGACCCGGCGAGAGGTAATTGCTCCCTAACCGTGGCCGCTGCCCGCATCTGCTCCCCTCCTCCCCGGCTGCCTCCGGGTCTGGAAGGAAGCCCCCCCATTGACGCCCCCTCCCCGCCTTTCCTTTCTCGCTCCTTCCCGGGACCGGGCTGGAGCCGCCGCCCCGCGGGCCGAGCCCTGTGCCCGGGCGACCTGGGTGAAGGTCGGTGCGGACGGCCGGGCATCCGAGCTCCGAGGGGCCAAGCCCGGCGTGGGCACTGCCCTGTGGTCCGGGGCGCTACCCACCCGGTCCTCCCGGGGCCGCTGTGCCCTCGCTTCGCCCGCCCCCCGCTTCAGCCCGGGTTCTCGGTCCTGTCCCCCCTTTTCCTCCCCTCCTCCCTCTCCTCTCCCCCCGTCCTGTCTGCCTTTCACGTCTCTAGCTCTCTCTCGAGCTTTTTGGGGGGGGGGGGGCTGGTCTCCTTTTTAAAATTCAATTAGTTATCATTACCCCTTCTCCCTGGGTTTCCTCTACTTTGTTTCTTTCCTTTTACTGTGTTTTTATCTCTGTTCTCTCATTTTCACTTACCTCTCTGTCCGGCAAGGATCCCTTACTCCTCATTTCTTCCCCTTCCCACCCCCCACCGGTCTTTTTGCTGTCTATTCACTGTGTCTTTGGTCAGTCTTTTCTTTTTTTTTTTTTAAATCACCTTTTTTTGCTTGAACGTGACTTTATACTGCAGGGGTTTTTTCCTCCTTACCTCAAGGGTCTGTATTCCTTTAACTGCCCTTCACGTAGGTCTCAGTACCTGGCTTGCCTGGGCTGGAGCTGTCTCTCCTGGTCCTTCCCCCCTCCCCATCCCCTTTCCGAGCTCATCCAGGTCCTTTACACCTTAGTTTTCCTATCTGGATCCCTCCTCAACTTCTTTTTCTTGCTCTTGTTTATCAGTTCTCTTTAATGGAGTTGTTTTTCTTTTCTTTGTTTTCTGCCTCTCCATTATGCCCTTCACAGGTATTTTTTTTTTCTTTCTGCATGCCTAGTGCTTAGTACAGTGGCTAAGAAAGCGCTGAATAAATGCTTCTTGATTTGACTTTATTCTCCATAGGCTTTCTGCCTTACTTCTCTTTTTCTTGTTCTGTTGCAAATTGTTGACATCTCCCCCAACTATTTTTTGCTACTTGTTGCGAATGGTCTCTTAACAATGGCAGGAGAAGTAATGAATCTACTATGTTGAATATATGACTAATATTTAAGGAGCATACTTATTTGGCATGCCAATAACAGAAGCTCATTATATAGGTTGCTGAAATTGTAAACTAACAAATTATGGTTGGGTAAAGGTTGATCCATCCCCACCTCCAAAAAATGCATTCCAAAACTATTACTAAGTAATTTATTGTTCTTCACAAAGAGGAAATGTTCAGCATTTTAGCTGCTATTTAATGGTCCACAATTCATTTTGTAAAATCCATGGTTGACTTTAATTTGACACATTGTACATTTTGAACATTTGTTTTTTCAATTAATCTTGAAACTGTTCTCATTGTTTCCTACGGATTAGCAAATATATGTAGTTCCCATTAAGTATAAATGCCTTTGCTTGTTGAAGAAGACTGAAGTTTGGGAAATCAGAAAATACATGTAAATATTTCTGAATTCATTAAATTAGAGGCAGTACAACCTTTGAATTTCTTTTGCTTTACTCATGTAGCCTTTTTGTTGTATAAAAAGACATCCTCCAGTAAAAGCAAAAAGTAGAGTATCTAATTTCTGAAGGAATCTATATAGCTTGTTTTAAAATTTTTGCTCTCTAGTTTGATAAATATTTTCAAATTTGTCTTTAATTTAGAGCCAGTTGCTGCTTTTGGTCAAGTGTTTATTAGGCCTGAAGACTAGCTGTATCACTACACATTTCATGTGGTATTTTTAAGTATTCTACAAACAGCATTTTCTTCCTCAAAATACCTGTGTAAAGTAGGAATTATATAGAGAGAAAAACAAAGACAGGAAGGTTGGTTCCTTATAAAAGAGAGACAAAATGAATCAGAAGCATAGCTGGAAGTAAGTTGAAAACATGTGACTTCCAACCCATTGCCATTAAACCAAACATCTTAAAATAACCAGCTGTTACTATGTGTAGTAGTAGAAGGTAGAGAACCCCTCAATTTTTTAGGTTTTACTTAATGTTGAATTTTTTTGAGTTCACATATTTAAATTGATGCTTCTGAAGGAAGCCAATTTCTCTCAAAAAGACATAGCCATCTTTACTTTTAAATATGCATAAAGTCATATGCTTATATTTCTTTTGTTGACATTTTAGTAAGCAACTCCACTAATCTGTAGAAATTACAGTGGAATGACAAGGTAGAACTGGCACAAAACTAGTCAAGAGATTTGAATTGTAATTATGACATTGCATAACTTTGTAGAAGCCACTTAACCTCTCTGTACCTCTGTCTCACTACCTGTAAAATGCAAATAATAATGATTGCCACTCACTAATCTCATGGTACTTTATGAAGGATAACCAGTTGAATGTATTTAATGTATTTATAGACAAAAAATGCTTTATGAAAACCTAATAATAGTTTAGAATTCTTAGGCTAGCAATTAGGTTATTCAAGTGGCATGTAGATCAAGGCAGACTTTAGATATTCATTTTTGATTCAGACATCAAAAGTATTTGACATAGTCTTGATGGCACTTGTCTATTTTCAGATAGTATCCTTTCTGCTGACAAGATTATATTAGATTAATACATTATATCTGATTATTAACCAAGCACTGTGGTATTCAGAATTTAGACAGATAAACCCCCCTTCCTCCAGGAATTTACATACAGTTGACATATTCTTATATTTTACATTTTTACTTTTGGCTTTTTTTTTTCCTTTTTAAGTGTTTGAGGGGCAGGGAAGTGAGATATGAGATATGTTAAGTGAAAATGGAGTAAGTCCTTGCCCTGGTTCTAATAGTTAGGGCAGTTGACTTGAAAATTAGGTTTTGAAATGAATAGATGTTTTGAAATAATAGATGTTTTGTTTTATTTTGTTTTGGTAGTGACAATTTGGAACAAAGTGTGGAAGAAAAAGAAAAAAGCAATAGTAGATGGAAAGAATTTTTGATGATTCCATTGATTTTTGATACATTATAAAATATAAATTGTTAGGCATATTGGGAATTCTTTTGGATTTCTTATTGTTATTCATTTATTTTGGTTGATGTCATATAATTAAGTAGAGAGACATTTTGGATAACTTGTAAGTAGTCTGTGTCTTTCACAAACTCCAATCACCCATTGTGAGATACATCCTATATTCTGGATTCTCTTCTGAATTATGTGTCAATATAGAAGTCTACACCAGACAGTATTCTGGAATGCCTCTGTCCGAATCCGAAAAAGTAGCTTACTTGCTCAGTTGTACAGCTAGTTAATTTCTTTCATTGAAATCTTCTTTTAAGTTGTTTTTTTAGGATTCACCTGTCCCTTTTGTGATTGTTTTTATGCTTTGGTATCTATGACACCTGCCCTCTATAATCTTCACAAGTTGCCAGTAAGTCATAGACTTCAATTAGAAGTACTGCTGACCATAAACATCTCAGAGTAATCTACGCCCTGAGGTCAAAGCTGTAAATATAAGCTTGCCAATTCTATATTGGCAAAGGCAACTTTAAATCTGGCAACACTATACTTTTCTCTGCCATCAGTGTTGTCTCAGTTGCAGGGAATGAGAGGTTTCAAAACCACCCTGATCCTTAACTACCATTGACCCCAAGAGAGTCAAGACTGGGTATTTAGTGTGCTGAGGGGAATAAGAAACCAGCATAACCATTCTCTTTTTCTAAGATTGTCAGTGGTACCTTTCCATTACGTTAATAGAATTTTCAGTTCCTTGAACCAGTAATACATTTGATACAAAAGCGTGATTTAATCATATGCTTTAAAAAATATACAGAAGCCTCAGTTGTCCACTGGGAAAGGAGGGAAGGATAGATAGTGAAAACATTTAATTATAGGGCCGGGCAGTGAAACTAGTAGAAATTTGACCTCTTTATTTGGGATAGGGACATTTTTTTCTCAGCAGCTTTTTAGAATCTGGTATTCCTATGCACTAAAGAGTTGACATTTCCATTATATTTGTGTCTTTCTCTTCTAATTTTCAAGGTTATCTTTTGGCTGGGACCTTCCTAACCACTAGGATATCCTCTCCTCTGGGTCCTGCACTCTTTTGTGTTGACCATTGGTGTTATAAATTGAACTTATATTTTATATTATGATCTAGAAAGCTGCGTTTACATTATTTTGAATGAAAGTTTCTTTATTGTAAATACTAGTGAAAGAAACTAGAAAAATCAAATAGGGTAACATTTTTCTGGGGTTGGAATTTTCAAAATATTGATTATGATGCTCCAGGTATGAGGCAGCATAACACCCCCCCACCCCCCCATTCTAGCTTTGTGTCTCTGGACAAGGCACTTTACCTTTCAGTGTCCTCAACAACTCTCTTAAGATCATATGTTGCAAAACATTTGCTCATCTGCCTTGGTAAGGAGAAGTTTCTGCACCAATAGTTCCTTACACTAATGAAATCACAGATCTGGACCAAAAAAATTATTAGGGCATTGTTTTTGGACTGTCTTGACTCAGTTGTGATCATTTGGAAGAAATATTTTTTCCTTATGCTGTAAGATCTCAGGGCAGTGTTTTAGATTTTAGTATTGCTTTAATGTTTGAAACAGCTAATCTTGACTTGATCAATATAGAAAAAAAGGGCAGGCAGCTGGCTGCTCAGTGCCTACCAGATAACAGTACTTAGATACAAAAACATTCTGGATTCCAATACAAGATACCTTGTTTTATGCAGCACCTGTCCTGAAAATTTTTGTTTAAATCAGTTTTTGTAAACTAGATTCCTTTCCCCTTCCCACCTTACTTTTTCATTAATTGTCAGGTTAAAAAAAAAATAAGAAACTGAGTTGCTCTAGCTATTACCTAAGATGTCACACTCAAGCAGTTAATGATCTATAAATGTATTCAG